CAGGAATGCACAACTTGCTTCTCAGTAGTTTCCAGATGTCCCGGGCATGGACTGCATCTCTCTTGGGGTTTGTCTTCTCCTTGATCTAATTTTTGACTGCATCAATACACCAGTGGAGCACAGCGCACCTTTAACCACCCAAGACATTTGCCTGTGTAGGACCCATCCTGCCAGGTGCTGAAGGCTGTAACAGAAATTGAAGGCTCAGAAGGCACATGGCACTTCTCATGACCCAGCACTTAGATGTGGATGTCACTGTCCTCATCCACTGCTTTCTGAGTATTGCTTCCCATGGACTTTTTGCTGTGGGAAGGGATTTTACTGCAACAGCATGTAAGTCTTTAGTGGAGCAGAGCATCATACACTATGGAACACCAACCAACTTCTTTGTTGAAGTGCACTAGCCTGCTCTGCTTCTGAGCTGCAGCTGAGTTGCAACTCAAGCATGAGAAGACTTTAAGCTTTATGTTTTCTCTTACCCACTCTCCCAAGTATGGACTTATCCCTGGCAGATACTAGAGCTGCCTGAAGGTTGCTCCAATTCGCAAGGTTTCTTACGGGCTCTTAAAGGGGTGTTTCAGCAGTAGAGGCTCCTGAGCCAGAGCAGCTGCTGCAGCAACTTTTCCCAATAAATTGTCACCTGACTAGTGCAGTTTGCTCTGCTGAGTGGGCAGTAACATGCTCCAGAGAACAAGAGTAATGAAGCTCAAATCTCTCTTCAGGAAAGGCTTAAGTCAGTTTTGTCTCCCTGGAGCTAGTGTGTTCTCTTGCCACACACTTCACTGCTGGTGGTGACAAGTAGCTGCGAAAGCTCTGATGACAGGGCTTCTCCCTCCTATGGCAAAAGACACTCATCCAGTGGCTGCCTTCAAGATACCCTGGCAACATGGCATCAGGGTTGGGACTAGTAACGTGCAGGGCATCCAAGCAGATAAAGCTGGGTGGGGGCTAAAGCACCTGCTTTGCAGGGAGCAAACACCCCAGCAACTCCTTTGCTTGGAGGGAGTTTCTTGAGGGCAACTGTGGGAGTTCTGGTTGTGAAGAGAAATGTTGGGCCTGACCAGCAGGTTCTTGGAGCACTTGCCAAATTGCTTCCTTCACCATCACTGTTAAAAAGGCAGCAAGGCTTCAAGAATATTTTTTTTCCCCAGAGACTGCTTGTTGGGACAGTTACTGACTTACCGTTGTCTTTAGGGTAAGCAAACGGCAAGAGAATCCACTCTGCCCTACATGCAGGTCATGCCCCTGGGCGGGAACGTCCAGCCAGGAAGGGCTTCATTGGTTTGGGCAGGACCTGAATGGACCAGTGGGAGAGGCATACCCAGTTACCAGTGCCCCTGCCAGAGGAGGAGGGAGGGTTACTGAAGTCCTAAGTGCCTCTCTTCTCTTCCCAATAAAGAGGAGCATCCAACCCACGCAACACATGGCACATCCCTATTCCAGCTCTGTCGGGCTGCTGTGTTTTCTTATACTTTTTAATGGAAAGGGCTCCTCTTCAGTGCAGTAAGGGCCATGCCCAGAAATCTATTTGTTTAGCTGTGACGGGTCTTTCCACCAAGTCAGTAGTGCACTCGTGCTAGGAATCAAATAGTTGTGCACTGATTTGCACCATAACACTTAACACAGCTGGTCACCTCAGCCTATTTTTATTAATACTTTCTTACTGTAGTGCTGAAGAGAGGGTCTGTTTCCTTTTACTAATTCTTGATAATGGTGGAAAGGGGAGGTCTGTTTTGAATGTAGTCATGTCTAGTGGTCAGTGTTTTCCAAGGCGACTTGCACTGTTCCTCTGGGCTAGTTCAGGGCTGCCTGGCAGCAGTAGCTTTTGAAAGAGCACATAAGCACATTGATTCTTTTTCACTGAGGCTGTTGCATCAGATGGGCCTGTTAATGAAAGTCATCATATGGGTTCTTCCTTATATCCCCCTCATTCCTGTGTAAGCAGAGTGACCAAACCCCACCCAGGAGCCACTTCTTTTTCTCACTCCAGTGCTGGCGGACATCCTTGCCCTGAATTGCATTGTCATTGCAGCAATGGGAAGGGCTTGAACTGGCTACTTGCAATAATTTTGTTTACTGGGTGCAATGAAGGATTTGTCACTTTTGCTTCTCTTTTATATTTCAGCCTACTGTAGTGAAGACAAACTTTAGCTAACATAGGACTCTCCCAAGTCCTGCATATCAAATGTATGTTGCCCTCTTCCTACTAGTCTACCGTGCATTCATGAGCACTTTCACTTGTTGCATTTCATGTGGGTTGCTGGGTTTTTTGTTGTTAATTTTATACAGTAGAATTCACCAGGAAACTTTCCACCCTCTTGCTGCCCAAAGCTTTTGAGCAGCAGAAACTTTCTTTGCAGGAAGCTGCTCTGCAGGAACACAGCAACTTGCAATAAAACACTCTGCCCAGCACAGTTTCCAAGGAAACTCTTGAACTCGCAGCCTCATCAGGTGCCAGTTGTCCACCTTGGTGAAACTGTTGGGATCTGAGGAAAGCTGCATTCTCTATGGCTAGTAACTGTGCTTCCCTGCCTCAGTCAAGGGTTGGAGTTTGAGTCCCTGGGGGTTTTTTTGGTGGCAATATTTGTCTGATTAAGTTTTTATACTAAAAATATTCTGCACATCTTGGAGCTTCTTTACATGGTGTGCTCTATTCCTGACCACTGAGATGACAGGTCCTTAGTAGAGTGCGAGGAAGCTCTGCGATGAATGAGGTCTGTTGTAACACCTGGCTGATTTTCAGGGAAGGGTGTTGGTAAGGCAGGTCTCAGGTTTTCTTCATGGTGCTCTCCAATCCATCCCCCTATTCCAGGAAACAATTTGGGAAAAGTCTGTTTATGTGCCTGCAGTCACTTGCTGTGATTACCAATGGATGCAGCTGGTATCTGCACTCTAGGACAATGCAAGGCCCTGTGTAGAGCTCACCGATAGGACTGCCTAGTTACTGCACCTGCTGGGAAGCCTATCAGCATATCTGGGGGCTGTTTAATAGCCTCTGCACTGATGAATGCAGAAAGACTTCCCCTCGAGGTAGAAACCTAGTGTGACTCAATGGTTAAAGACTGTTATGGTGTCTTGAAAAGAGGAATTTGCAGGTCTCCACTGGAGAGTGTGATTTAAGAAGGAAACTTTTTTTTTTCCTTTGTTGTATTGTCTTGAATCAGAACTGAGAACCTAGAGGTCACTTTTATTTAGGCTCCTGGATTTCTGGCAGCAAAGATGCAAGTTCCTGACTCAGGGTGGGGCTGGAGCAATGACCTAGTTCTCAGCAGGCAGCATCCCACCCTCCACCTGCTAAGCTACTGCATCACCTGCACAGTGATGGCTGCACTCTGCAGGCCTCCTGCAGGAACGTACTGTAGGAGCAACAGTTGTCTGATTCCTACTATGACCTAACATTTTTACTCTGACTGCTCCATGTAGCTTTGCTGTACTCTGACAAAGAGACAGCTTTTTGGTCTGACTCCAGCACTTTCTTTTGGCAGCCTCCAGTCCTCCTTGGTGATGGGATCTAAAGAAATGGCTGCTTATGCTGACCTAGAGCTGCAGATCTAATTTCCATCCTTCCCATGGGTTGGTGAGAGGTGGAAGGCCTTCGTGGCAGACCTGGACAGATACTTACCAATGCTGAATGCTGGTTAGAGGTGCATTTGACTTGCCCTAAAATAAAGAGCTGCCATGTTTCTCATGGAAAGCTCTCTGGAGTGGCAGTATTCACTGAGCTGCTGGTCTTCCATGTACCTCACCTTCAGTCCATCTATTGCAAACAAGCCAACCATGTTTTCTGTTCAGCTCTACAGTTGTTGCCCTGTTTACATCTTGGATTTAATTACAAAATCTCTCTTCTCTCCCTCACCAGTTTTCATGTTCTTAGACCTGGCTGCTGCTTTTTGCTGCTTTTAATTAGCAAGCCTGTTGTCTCATTTGTGGAGGAGGGGGCTGAGGGAAAAGATAGGATAGGAAGTTTTATGGGTTAGCATAGATCTGCCATGCTCACTTGCAACAGCTGACCCAGTTAAAAGCCAAATTGACCGGCACTGTTCTGTTTTTCACCAAAATACTCTTCTTGCTGTGAATGTGTCCTGGGTGGTAATAGTTCAGCTACCGATTATCTGTGATCAAACTGCATGGTTACTTCTTATCAGTAGAGCATTGTAGAAGTCATTTGGCTTCTAGGTTTCAAAGATAGTACCTGGCGCCTTGAAGTACTAAGGGAAATCATCCTGGTGAGTGTAGAGTCTTATACTCTTTGCCTCTATTGTGAAATAGTGAAAGGAGAGTGAAGCCCCTCTGTATTTCACTTTCAGCTGGGAGCTTTGCCTCTTGGGAATGTGAAGTCTAAGCTGAGAGGTCTACTTTTGCCATAGAAGCATCTGTTTTTCCTGGTGTTTTCTTAGAAGTGGAGATGAATATAAGGCATTGCCCCTTCATTCAGTGCGTTTCTGTATCTAGCAGATAGCACAGTGGTGACTCAGATGCATGAAGTTACCTTTTGGATTCCCAGCCTGACAGAGGTGACC